AATCATTCAATTCAAAGTATTCCAGCACAGCCTTAAACCACAACAGCATCGTCTCAGAGACCTAAAGGGGCGTTCACACCGGACTTAACTTCGGCGTCAAAAGCGTCAGGTTTCCATTGAAAGTGAATGGTGAAGCGCGTCAGGTGAAGCCGAGAGCCCCGGCGTCACTTGACGCGCGTCAAAAGCTTCAAGAGTCGCGCGTACTACGCGCTCACTTGAAGCTTTTGACGCGCGAAACGCTCGCGTATCACAACAATCCCTTTGACGCCGAAGTTGAGCAAAGCTGAGCTTTTGAAGCTTTGACGCGGGCTTCAACCAATCAGGAGACGAGGAGCAGCAGCAGCAGAGGGTCTGTCTCTGTCATGAAGAGAAGTCATGTATCTGCTGCTGCTGTTTTATTGTCATTATTGTTATTAGTAATATTATTTGTATGAGTAGTAACATTCTGAGTAACAAAAATCATTGTACACATGCTGTGTAGTAAACGTAGTTTATTTAATATAAGAACAGGCTGACGATGGGTCTGGCTCAGAGCAAGGCAGCTCCGGGCGGGCGAGAGCCGGGGAGAGGCAGGGAGAGGCGGGCGAGAGCCGGGGAGAGGCAGGGAGAGGCAGGGAGAGGCAGGGGGAGGCAGGGAGAGGCGAGAGCGAGGCGGGGAGAGGCGAGCTCCGGGGTTTGAGAACTCAGACTGGGCAAGTGACATGCGGAAGTACCGCTGAAAGCGAAACTCCTCCGTACGCAGCTCCTGGAGTAAATGACGGAACTCTGCAAACACTGCAGCCTCTCAAGTCTGTGGTGAACCCAGAACATGTTTTGTTGAAGCCCTACAACAACGTTATTTTGCTTTATATAACAAATAAAGGCTCGCTGCTCATTGAAAAATCCACCGCTGTCCTGACTACAGACAACAGAGAAGCTCCTCCCACCGGCGTCAGGCGCGTCACTCGCGTCAAAAGCTTCAAGCACCAAAATGACAAAACTATCCCGGCGTCAGTTGAAGCGCGTCAAAAGCTTTTTGAAGCTTTTGGTCTGAACGCGCCTTAACAGTGTGTACCCCAGATGTTGTGTATACGTGTGTAAGTATGACTGTCAGTGTGTACCCCAGATGTTGTGTATACGTGTGTAAGTATGACTGACAGTGTGCACCCCAGATGTTGTGTATACGTGTGTAAGTATGACTGTCAGTGTGTACCCCAGATGTTGTGTATACGTGTGTAAGTATGACTGTCAGTGTGCACCCCAGATGTTGTGTATACGTGTGTAAGTATGACTGTCAGTGTGTACCCCAGATGTTGTGTATACGTGTGTAAGTATGACTGTCAGTGTGTACCCCAGATGTTGTGTATACGTGTGTAAGTATGACTGTCAATGTGTACCCCAGATGTTGTGTATACGTGTGTAAGTATGACTGACAATGTGCACCCCAGATGTTGTGTATACGTGTGTAAGTATGACTGTCAGTGTGTACCCCAGATGTTGTGTATACGTGTGTAAGTATGACTGTCAGTGTGCACCCCAGATGTTGTGTATACGTGTGTAAGTATGACTGTCAGTGTGTACCCCAGATGTTGTGTATACGTGTGTAAGTATGATTGTCAGTGTGTACCCCAGATGTTGTGTATACGTGTGTAAGTATGACTGTCAGTGTGTACCCCAGATGTTGTGTATACGTGTGTAAGTATGACTGTCAGTGTGTACCCCAGATGTTGTGTATACGTGTGTAAGTATGACTGTCAGTGTGTACCCCAGATGTTGTGTATACGTGTGTAAGTATGACTGTCAGTGTGTACCCCAGATGTTGTGTATACGTGTGTAAGTATGACTGTCAGTGTGTACCCCAGATGTTGTGTATACGTGTGTAAGTATGACTGTCAGTGTGCACCCCAGATGTTGTGTATACGTGTGTAAGTATGACTGTCAGTGTGTACCCCAGATGTTGTGTATACGTGTGTAAGTATGACTGTCAGTGTGTACCCCAGATGTTGTGTATACGTGTGTAAGTATGACTGTCAGTGTGTACCCCAGATGTTGTGTATACGTGTGTAAGTATGACTGTCAGTGTGTACCCCAGATGTTGTGTATACGTGTGTAAGTATGACTGTCAGTGTGTACCCCAGATGTTGTGTATACGTGTGTAAGTATGACTGTCAGTGTGTACCCCCAGATGTTGTGTATACGTGTGTAAGTATGACTGTCAGTGTGTACCCCCAGATGTTGTGTATACGTGTGTAAGTATGACTGTCAGTGTGTACCCACAGATGTTGTGTATACGTGTGTAAGTATGACTGTTAGTGTGTACCCCAGATGTTGTGTATACGTGTGTAAGTATGACTGTCAGTGTGTACCCCAGATGTTGTGTATACGTGTGTAAGTATGACTGTCAGTGTGTACCCCCAGATGTTGTGTATACGTGTGTAAGTATGACTCTCAGTGTGTACCCCAGATGTTGTGTATACGTGTGTAAGTATGACTGTCAGTGTGTACCCCAGATGTTGTGTATACGTGTGTAAGTATGACTGTCAGTGTGTACCCCCAGATGTTGTGTATACGTGTGTAAGTATGACTGTCAGTGTGTACCCCAGATGTTGTGTATACGTGTGTAAATATGACTGTCAGTGTGTACCCCAGATGTTGTGTATACGTGTGTAAGTATGACTGTCAGTGTGTACCCCAGATGTTGTGTATACGTGTGTAAGTATGACTCTCAGTGTGTACCCCAGATGTTGTATATACGTGTGTAAGTATGACTGTCAGTGTGTACCCCAGATGTTGTGTATACGTGTGTAAATATGACTGTCAGTGTGTACCCACAGATGTTGTGTATACGTGTGTAAGTATGACTGTCAGTGTGTACCCCAGATGTTGTGTATACGTGTGTAAGTATGACTGTCAGTGTGTACCCCAGATGTTGTGTATACGTGTGTAAGTATGACTGTCAGTGTGTACCCCCAGATGTTGTGTATACGTGTGTAAGTATGACTGTCAGTGTGTACCCCAGATGTTGTGTATACGTGTGTAAGTATGACTGTCAGTGTGTACCCCAGATGGTGTGTATACGTGTGTAAGTATGACTGTCAGTGTGTACCCACAGATGTTGTGTATACGTGTGTAAGTATGACTGTCAGTGTGTACCCCAGATGTTGTGTATACGTGTGTAAGTATGACTGTCAGTGTGTACCCCAGATGTTGTGTATACGTGTGTAAGTATGACTGTCAGTGTGTACCCCCAGATGTTGTGTATACGTGTGTAAGTATGACTCTCAGTGTGTACCCCAGATGTTGTGTATACGTGTGTAAGTATGACTGTCAGTGTGTACCCCAGATGGTGTGTATACGTGTGTAAGTATCACTGTCAGGACGTATAGCAGCGACGTCCGTTCCTTGGCTTCCACGTCTTAATTAGCGCCGCTGTTAGCACCTCTTCACCGGTCGGGGCTCGAATCAAAGAGCATGAGTTACTGCGGGTCTTCGGTTCAAAGCCCTGGGCAGTAACTCCTCTGTCTCATTTTCAGGAGAAATATTCCAATCTTGTCCGTGTGAGGAAATCAAAGTGGAGCCCCCTTAAGGAGCTCGTAACAAGTGTCTTATTGCTGAGGCGCAGACAGGAAGCGGCGATTGGGGGGGGGGGGGGGGGGGGGGGCACGTCTACGGACAGCTAATGGTCACTGAAGATGTAGAAGGAGGGTCTCTGATGGCGAGGACCCCCGCTGATGATGTAGCCGCTGGAGGTGATGAGCAATAGCGTTTGGCGTATGCTAATAGTGCAGCTGCGTCTGTCCTGCTGCTGAGACGGTCAGCACTAGATCATATACGGAATCTGGACGAATCTTGGTGTTTATGGCAGTTTTTTTTACTGAATTAGTTTGATAATAATAATAATAATAATAATAATAATAATGATGATAATAATGTATTGGTTTTTCTACAGTGCTTTTTTGGACACTCAAAAAAGCTTCACATGTCATTATTCTTTCACTCCATACACAGTGGTGATAAACTACTGTTGTAGCCACAGCTGCCCTGGGGCACACTGACAGAGGCGAGTCAACCAGTCTGTAACATTCTCACTCACATAAATAGACAGATACTGTGACAGATCCCTGGAGGAGAAATTCAGGTGTCTCCAGCAGCAGAAACACATCCCTCCATATAAACACATATTTACATAAAAACATTCTAGCTGTTTTCAAATCAAACAGATCGACATGTACATAAATTAAAGTACTTACTACATAAATACATAACAAACATAAGTTATGGTGATGGTGAGGGGCGCACATAGAGCCACCTCAGTGTCTGTGCACTTGCTTTACCATAACACAAAAATATATTATCATTCATATTTACTCCGCCCCCAGAGTCAGTCAACCAAACATCCTGCCCACCCACCCTTCTGACAAATCTGCATCTTGCCCACCTTTACATCAGTCTGGCCCCAAACTTTGCAGCCGGCTGGAAGTGAGCCTGTTGGGCAGTGCACTGAGCAGGGCGTGCAGAGCGTGGGGACCACAGGTCTGAGAGCTGCCCTCTCTGCCTCACTGATCAAACCCAGCCTCATCAATATCAATTACACAGGCAGCTGTTCCCTGGCACCTCTCCTCCTCCTCCTCCGTCTCTCTGCATGGGTCATCACTGAGCCATCACACACTCTTCCACATCAAAATGGATTTCACCCGTGCGTCCCTGGGAGTGCTGGAGATATTACAGTCTGAATTTAGCAGGTTTTTCACTTTGTCTCGTGATAGATGGAAAAAATACATACTTGGAGGTATTTAGTCTTGACTAGATTTCTCTGCACTGGCTTCATGTGGCTCAGAGAATAGGCTTTAAAACAGCTCTGTTTGGTACAAGTCTCTCACACAGCACCAAGGTACATCTGTGACATGTTAGTACCATATGAACCAACTCTGAGGAGCACAGGGACTGGCCTCCTGTTGGGACTCTGAGGAGCACAGGGACTGGCCTCCTGCTGGGACTCTGAGGAGCACAGGGACTGGCCTCCTGCTGGGACTCTGAGGAGCACAGGGACTGGCCTCCTGCTGGGACTCTGAGGAGCACAGGGACTGGCCTCCTGCTGGGACTCTGAGGAGCACAGGGACTGGTCTCCTGTTGGGACTCTGCGGAGCACAAGGACTGGCTTCCTGCTGGTCCCAGAGTCAGGACTAAACATGAGGAGGCACCATTTCAGATGTATGCAGTTAGACGGTTACACAAAAATAGATTGAATTGAATATCTGCATGAGCCATAACCTTGTCCCAAATCATTATAGACCTGAGACAGTACAGATAAACATTTTTAGGTGAGTTGCTGCAATTAATCAAATATGAGATGAATGGCCCCTAATAGTGCAGTATATTTACAATTTGGGAGAAAAGTCTGTTCCAGTTGTCTAATTGAGCTTGCCAACAGGCAGGGATCCTGTGGAATGGCCTGGGGCAGCTCTGGGGCAGCTCGGCGCCCGCTGGGGCTCGGTGCAGCTCGGTGCTGGCTCCTCGTTTGAAGGTATTTCATCACGCGCTGCCTTGAATCAGCTCTGCGGGGATTTGTTAGTTGCACTCCAGTGGGAAGTGCATCCAGTGCATTGTTAAGCTGCAGCTGATAATAGAGATCATAGAGTCTCCGAGAGAGAGAGAGAGAGAGAGAGAGAGAGAGAGAGAGAGAGAGAGAGAGAGAGAGAGAGAGAGAGAGAGAGAGAGAGAGAGAGAGAGAGAGAGAGAGAGAGAGAGAGAGAGAGAGAGAGAGAGAGAGAGAGAGAGAGAGAGAGAGAGAGAGAGAGAGAGAGAGAGAGAGAGAGAGAGAGAGAGAGAGAGAGAGAGAGAGAGAGAGAGAGAGACCGAGACCCAAGACAAACTGATGCAGGAGAACAAGCAAAACATGATTGAGAAGTTGTCGCTGAACAATGTGAAGAGGTTCCTCTCTAGTGAGTACCTGAAGTAGTAGTAGTTCAGGACCAGAGGAGTAGAGACCAGAGGAGCCAGGACCAGAGAGCAGCCAGGACCAGAGGGGCAAAGAGGGAAGAGAGAAAGAGAGACAGAAAGAGACCGAGAGATTGAGAGACAGAGAGACAGAGAGAGATCGAGAGACAGAGAGACAGAGAGAGATCGAGAGACAGAGAGACAAAGAGAGAAAGAGACCGAGAGATTGAGAGACAGTGAGGCAGAGAGAGACAGAGAGACAGAGAAAGAAAGAGACCGAGAGCTCGAGAGACAGTGAGGCAGAGAGAGACAGAGAGACAGAGAGACAGAGACAGAGAGACAGAGAGGCAGAGAGAGACAGAGAGACAGAGAGGCAGAGAGACAGAGAGACAGTGAGGCAGAGAGAGACAGAGAGACAGAGAGGCAGAGAGACAGAGAGGCAGAGAGGCAGAGAGACAGAGGCAGAGAGAGACAGAGAGACAGAGAGGCAGAGAGACAGAGAGGCAGAGAGACAGAGAGACAGAGAGGCGGAGAGACGGAGAGGCGGAGAGACGGAGAGACAGAGAGACAGGGAGATCGAGAGGCAGAGGGGCAGAGAGACAGAGAGGCAGAGAGACAGGGAGATCGAGAGACAGAGAGGCAGAGAGACAGAGAGGCAGAGAGACAGAGAGACAGAGAGGCAGAGAGGCAGAGAGACAGAGAGACAGAGAGACAGAGAGGCAGAGAGACAGAGAGGCAGAGAGGCAGAGAGGCAGAGAGACAGAGAGGCAGAGAGACAGAGAGGCAGAGAGACAGAGAGGCAGAGGCAGAGACAGAGAGACAGAGAGGCAGAGAGATCGAGAGACAGAAAGACAGGGAGACCGAGAGATCGAGAGATCGAGAGATCGAGAGACAGAGAGACAGAGACACAGAGAGGCAGAGAGACAGAGGCAGAGAGACAGAGAGACAGAGGCAGAGCTGTAGGTGCAGCAGATGACTTGATCGTCCGCACACTCTCACCGGTCCTTTTCTCGCTCCGGCGACACTCGCTGCAAAATTGACACAATCTTTTGCGCCGCCGTATTGTTGGCTGTGTTTCCTCTTTTCGTATTTGTTTGTTCACCGCAAAAATACAGTATTTTCCTTCAGACATTTTGCTTTAATCTATAGTAGACAGCCTTTTTTTTTTGGTGAAATAGGTCAGGGTAATCACAGCGGTGAGGGATGGACAGCACTGTACAAGGTAAATCAATAGAGCTATCTATTTGCCGTGAACCAGGCCAGCGTGATTTTTCTCCATTTTTCTGCCTCAACACAAAATGGCCCTTCCTCATTTTTTACTAAAAGCATAATGTCTGCCATTTCGTACAATTGCAAATGGGTTTTGAAGGAGCACTTTCTTTGCATAAGTTACTCAGTGTTGGGTACAAAGGTTTGATAAGTGTCGAGGGGCACAGTTTTCGTTCTGCCATTGTGGTCCCAAATCTGCATCCTCACGGCGCTCTTTGACAGGATTTGAGTGAAGAAGGATGCGTCTTCTTCACTCGCCGCTCTGAGACGGTGAGAGGGGTACAAAGGGGAGCGGAGGAGGAGCAGTGTGTCCATGGTTGGCTCCTGCTGAAGGTGGAGGTGCAGGACGGAGAGGAGGTGCTGTGAGGGGGTGGGGCTACACACACCGCACCATCAATCAATCAATCATGTATTTGTGTGGTGTGTTTTTGTGTTCACAGCGATTCAAAGGGCTTCACAAGTGTCAGGCTTGTACAGAAGTGGCAAGAAAGTCAGAAGGAAAGAATCACAAAACTAAAACGCTAGACGCAAGAAAACAGTAGGGGCAGTATTCAGGAACAGGAAGTAAACTAAGAAACAAGGCCAAGAAAAGCTGATTTCAAAATAAGACAATCCATGACACGAGCAATTCATAGACACAGATCAAAATGCATGAAAAAAACTAAAAACAATACAATAATTTCATATTAAAACAGAGCAGCATAAAAGTATTGGGCTTAAAACTCAATAAAATGTGGGTTTAAAAAGAGAGTTAGACTTAGACAGACTTTATTGATCCACAAGAAACATTGGGTTGTCACGTGAGCTTCCATAGTGTTTTACAATAAAAAATAACATACAAGTGAAAATCTAGAAATAATAATAATAGGATAATATTGTGGGAATATATAGATATAGAATCAGTTGTATCTAGTTTTGAACATGGTCAGGGAAGAGGCTTGTCTCACAACCTCAGGAAGACTGTTCCATATCCTTGCTGTGTATACTTACTGCATGTTGTCTGGTGTAGAAGAAGAAGCCACGATCTACCTTCCTTCCTGAACTGCCACAGAGACTCTCGAGACAAGGGTCTGGAGACGACGAACCCCTCTCTGTGCTAATGCTAGTGTGTTAACTTTCTTTGTAAGTTTTCATTGAACATAAGTAAATCTGGCCACATTGAGAGGAGCCTGTGGAGGTGACTCTGGGCATCTGGCCTTTCCCACCAGAGACAGACTCCGGGGAAGCGTGTTCGTCCCTGGGAGCGCATCCCTCGCTCAATACGGGCCTCCCACTGGGTTTTTATGATGATCCAGACACTGACATTCAACAACATTTATAGGCATTGGTCTCTGTCCCTTATGGACCAAGAGCTCTATGTGTTTTTATCATTTAATCTGTATTGACAAATTCGACCGTTTTGTATCGTCCTCTGTGATTAATACTGATGTGATTTAGGACAATACAAAAATAAATTGATTGGAAGTGTATGTGATTGAATACTGAAGTGACTCCTCTGAACATTTGACTCATCTGAATTCCCCCAGATGAGCTGGAGAAAGTGTCCATTTTTAAGTGTTGGTGTCTCTGCTCAAACTGCTGCCTACAACTCCCACCAGCCCAAATAAATACAAAAGAAATAGATCCATGGATGAGCTAATCAAAGAAAGTTCTATCTCTCTCTCAATCCGTCTGTCCTGATTTCTTTCGCAACTGCTGTATCCAGTGTAGTCTCCCGAAACCCAGAATATCAGAAAAATGAATAAAACATATTTGCGGGGAGAACAAACATAGGTAATTATCACGGCCCTGTCTTCTGAGGAGTTGCAGAAGTTGTGTACGGAGGAGAAAGTGTGGCGCGAGGCGTTTGGTGATCGGGAACATTGACATTTGTGCTGATGGTATTGTTGCTGATGTTGCGTTGAATCTGCTTTATTAGAACGTAGCTTTGAATTTGTGTTTGTGTGAGAGCTGGGGGGAGCTGTGGGGGGGAGGGGGGAGGGAGGGGGGGGGGGGGTGCGCTGGGAGAGAACAGAACTCACGCTTAACCCACTGTCAGGTCTCACCGTCATCGTTAGGATCCACTGATACCCGACACTTCCAGCGATTCCACCGCTCAGCATCACGGCAGCGGGAGCACATCAAAGGGAGCCTCGATCTGCGTGAGGCTACGGGAGGAGGGGGGAGGGGGGAGGGAGGAGGGAGGAGGGGAGGGGGGAGCCAGGGGGGGTGAGGAGGGGGGAAGAGAGAAACCAGGGTCAAGAGTGTGCATGCATGGATTAATAGGAATTGTGTGATTGCGGTTTGATATTTTGGAAAGGCAGACGTTTCAAAGAGATCTCACGTTACTGTCAAGATTCAGGTGAAGAGAGTCTGTGTTCGTCCCATAGTGGGGAAATTTCAGTGTTGCATCGTCAGATACAGACGGGCAGGAATGAGGAGCTACAAAGTACAAGACAAGTGAACAATAACTCTATACTAAAATAAAAAACTTTAGCATGATAAAGAACCATGTCTTAAATCTCTAGCATGTGTGTGTGTGTGTGTGTGTAGGTGTGTGTGTAAGTGTGTGTGTGTGTGTGTAGATGTATGTATATGTGTGTGTGTGTGTGTGTGTGTGTGTAGGTGTGTGTGTAAGTGTGTGTGTGTGTGTGTGTAGATGTATGTATATGTGTGTGTGTGTGTAAGTGTGTGTGTGTGTAGATGTATGTATATGTGTGTGTGTGTGTGTAGATGTATGTATGTGTGTAAGTGTGTGTGTGTGTGTAGATGTATGTATATGTGTGTGTGTGTGTAAGTGTGTGTGTGTGTAGATGTATGTATATGTGTGTGTGCGTGTGTGTGTGTGTGTGTGTGTGTGTAGATGTATGTATGTGTGTAAGTATGTGTGTGTGTGTGTGTGTGTAGATGTATGTATGTGTGTAAGTATGTGTGTGTATGTGTGTGTGTGTGTAGATGTATGTATGTGTGTAAGTGTGTGTGCGTGCCTGTGTGTGTAATTGTGTTATAACATGTCTATATTTTTTCAAGCATATATTTAGATTTTACATTTATTTTTGTCCATTGTACATGTGTTTTTGTGGCATTGATGAGAACTAAAATACCTTCTGTATTTGTCAGCGGCTGATGGGGATTTAAAACCTCACGATATATTGTCGACATTCACAAACTTGCAACATAATTATCGGTAAATGCACATTATCACCAGACGACACAGAGGATTATTATCGTTCCCGTTGAACCGTAGCGTCTTTCTCATTCTGGAACTAACATTTTCTCCCATCCCTGGGAGCGGCTCTTGTCCTTGTGTTTTCGTACCGAGTGCCTGGTTCCAGAGTTTGTTCACTGACAAACGGCTTTTCTGCGGAGGGTGGATCGACTCGTCCACGTCCTGGGACTTCACTCAGATGGAACTTCACTCTCTGTGATCTCTCTCTCTCTCTCTCTGGTCTCTCTCTCTGTGATCTCTCTGGTCTCTCTCTCTCTGGTCTCTCTCTGATGGCCTCTCTCTCTGGTCTCTCTCTCTCTGGTCTCTCTCTGGTCTCTCTCTCTCTCTCTCTCTAGTCTCTCTCTCTCTCTCTCTCTCTGGTCTCTCTCTCTGGTCTCTCTCTGGTCTCTCTCTCTCTCTCTTTCTCTCTCTCTGGTCTCTCTCTCACTGGTCTCTCTCTCTGGTCTCTCTCTCTGGTCTCTCTCTGATGGTCTCTCTCTGATGGTCTCTCTCTGATGGCCTCTCTCTCTGGTCTCTCTCTCTGGTCTCGCAGAGAGAGAGAAAGAGAGAGAGAGACCTCTGCATCACGCATTTCCCACTGAGTCAAAGATCATGGGTTCAATCTCTTGCTTTTATTTCTTGAGATATTTGAGTTTTCTGTGTGAAAGTGGTTGAATGTGACTTTTCCTTTTCCATTATATCAAATTTCACTGGAATCACAGGAAATACCTCCATCAGAAATCTAAAAATATTGTTGCCGTTAATGCTCCACGCGACCCCATCAAGGATCGTGCGTCTTGCCTCGTATCTCCCCGATCGCTTCTTCTTCTTTGGACTTATTTCCGCCGCTACGTCTCCCTAACCCTTCCTATGACTTCCCTCAGCGTGGCGCCAACACGCTGCCGCCGTTACATCAGCTGTTCCCGGCTCCGACTATTGAACGCACCGGAGAGAGAAGTGTGTTCTGCTGGATTACCGAATCAAGGTCGACTCACAAGACACAGAGCAGCATTATCCCTTAATCCTGTGTTTTGGTTTCAAATAGCCTTTTTACACCTAATCTTCACAAAAGAAATGACAAACAGAATCTGGAGGTAGGTATTTAAGGGCGCATTACCTGGATGTTAAGGTCAGGGCTTACACCGACTGCAGCTCTGTCGGCAAAACTCTCACCGTGTGTGAGAACGGTTTGGTCACTGTGTTTTTACACGTCTGCATTAGTAATAATAATCACATGAATCGTATGAACATCTTCTGTCATTCATTTTCTACCTTCTTTCAGCGGGGGCTCAGGGTAACGTGGGGTTAAGTGTCTTGCCAAAGGACACAACGACAGCAGACATGAGTGGGAGCAGTTGGAGTAGGTCGCGTGGGGGGATCAAACCCATAACCTTCAGACCCAAAGGCCAATGCTCTGCCAACTGATGTAGAGGCAGAGACCGAGGAAGAGACTGAAGCAGAGACTGAAGCAGAGACTGAAGCAGAGACTGAGGCAGAGACTGAAGCAGAGACTGAGGCAGAGACTGAGGCAGAGACTGAAGCAGAGACTGAGACAGAGACTGGAGCAGAGACTGAGGCAGAGACTGAAGCAGAGACTGAGGCAGAGACTAAAGCAGAGACTGAAGCAGAGACTGAAGCAGAGACTGAGGCAGAGACTGAGGCAGAGACTGAGGCAGAGACTGAAGCAGAGACTGAGGCAGAGACTGAAGCAGAGACTGAGGCAGAGACTGAGGCAGAGACTGAAGCAGAGACTGAGGGCAGAGACTGAAGCAGAGACTGAGGCAGAGACTGAGCAGAGACTGAGCAGAGACTGAGACTGAGCAGAGACTGAGGCAGAGACTGAGGCAGAGACTGAGGCAGAGACTGAGGCAGAGACTGAGGCAGAGACTGAAGCAGAGACTGAGGAGGCAGAGACTGAGGCAGAGACTGAGGCAGAGACTGAAGCAGAGACTGAAGCAGAGACTGAGGCAGAGACTGAAGCAGAGACTGAAGCAGAGACTGAGGCAAAGACTGAGGCAGAGACTGAAGCAGAGACTGAAGCAGAGACTGAGGCAGAGACTGAGGCAGAGACTGAGGCAGAGACTGAAGCAGAGACTGAGGCAGAGACTGAAGCAGAGACTGAGGCAGA